CTAAAAGTCTTCTATTATTCTCTTTCCTTAGACTCACTCTGTCCCATGTTTTCTCTTAGCTTTTCTGTAGCATAATCTCTCTTAAAGTCTTTACCCCCAGACTTGCACTGTCCCATGTTCTCTTTAGCTTTTCTAAAGCCTATGTATGAAGTTCTCGGTGCAGACTTGCACTGTCCCATGTTCTCTCAGCCCTCAGACTTGAAGACAATCAACAGCAGCCGTTCCCTCCCAGGCTGCCAACCAATTCTATCTACCCCTCTTTAGCAATTTCCCTTCAATTATCCCTTCAGCAATCTCCCTTCAGCCAAAAAATCTCCATCAAAAAGCCTCTCCCATCCAAAAGCCTCCCTTCATCCAAAAGCCTTTCGTCCTCCTTCAGAGTGTTTTATATCCAATGATAAACAAGGAGGTGGAGTAACAGTTCTTGCAGAGGAGTGTGACATTGTAACAAGAGAAACCTGTGTTCCTACTACTTTTTCTGAACATAAACAATTTAGGAAAAGCAGCTGAGCTGCATCTCTTTTTGCCTTCTTGCTCTCTCCTGTGGCTGGGGCTGTGCCAAATCTCAGCCTACAGATTATTTGACATAGGAAAAGCAGCTGCTCTGCATCTTACTCTCTCCCTAGTCTGTGGCTGGGGCTGTGCTGAACTCAGCCTGCAGAATATTGAGTACAAATGTGCTTAAGTCCTCATAGGCTTCTACTCCGCTCCCCCACATACCTTCCACTTTGTAGGAAATACAGAAGGTAAAGCAAAGTATTAAAATTCCGATATGAGTAAGCAGTCAGACAAGTCCTGAATGTGGGAAATTCTATTAAACATTTCCAGTATTTTCAAAACATATGTATTAAGGGGTAACAGAGGGGGGGCCCTTCTAGATCAAAGAGAGATAACAAACAGTTCTTGAATCCTGGTTTTGGTGGTGGTGGTGGTGGTAGAGGGAGAAACAGGTATGAAAGACTGGGATCAGGTGGTGACACTTCAATATAGACTGTCCACATTCTCTGACATTAGAGAATTATTGTTCATTTTTCTTAGGTATAGTAATGGTTTTGTGATTAAACAGGAGAAAATATTTATAGGATCTGATGAGAGAGAAGAGGTGAAATGTTTTCATGTCTGTAATTTATTTTAAGTGTACACACATACCACACACAGCAAATAGGTAAAATGTTTATTATTGTTAGTAGTGTGTATTAGTGTAAGTAGTGGTTCTCTGCTAATACTGTTATTTTAACTTTTTCCTACAAATTTGACATTTTTCATAATAGGTGGGAATTTTGCTTTTTAATCTCAAGTGAGGGAAATAATATTTACTGAAGATGACCTTGTGGTATGTAGTGTATCTCTATGGATCCTATGACCATCAGGGATCTTCACTTACATTCCATTTTTAAGAACTTTACAGCCATCTGCTTGGGCATGACAGCACAGACTTCCATTGAGAAATGAGATAGAAAACAGTTTTGTGAAATGATGTGGATTACGGATGTTTTTGAAACCTTTGCTTATTCGATCACATGATTGATGTCTTTTTGGGGAAAAGATGAAACTGGGTTTCTATAAGAAGAATAGTTTTTCTGCTTCTGAGAAAGTAAATTTTTGTCATGTTACAGGTACGTTTTATTGGCTGCCAGAAAGTGGCCCATCTCAAGTGCTTTGTGCTTTTCCCTACCTACCCTTATTTTTGTCATTCTGATTCCTTTTTTTTTTGGTTTTATTTATCTTGTAGATACTTTATGTCCAACAGTCTTCTGTGTTAAAAAGGATTTACAATAATACAGGGTTGGGGTTGTACCCTAGTAGTAAAGATCATGCTTAGCATGGGGATGGCACTGGGTTCACTCCCCAGTACCCTTGTCCCCTCAAAAAAAGTAAAAAAAAAATCATTTAGGATTTGAAGTTCAGAACCTAAACACAGATTTTCACAATGTTATTGTTACAGAAGTTCTTGTTCCTAAATTCAGGGAGACAAATGTAGAAGGTAAAAAGTATATACTATAAAATAAAAGTTCCCATTTTCTGGAGTAGAGTAAAATTGCTTGTGTGGGAGGAATAATCCTGGGTAGCGGACAGGCCAGAACATGAGACGGGCATTCACCAGCAGTAGGAGTTGGCACTTTCCTTGAGAAGTTGCTGTTGTTGTCGTCAGTTAAGAGAGGTAAAACGGCAGAACTGATAGCCTATCTTGAAGGAATTATGTACAAGAAGTCCTAAAGAAAATTCAGTTAGTTTAATTCCTTCCCTCTCACAGTGGTATCTTATCTTCCCTCTCTTAAATGATACTTTATATTTTATGAAATATTTGTCAGCATTAGTGTATGAATAAACATGTTACATTTACAGTTTGTTCTTGCTGCCTTCTAGGGAGTTGAAATCCTCACCCAATTTTTGTTTGTGATTGCTGTGCTAGATTATCAAAGAAGTGTTGTGTGACAACATAATACTTGCAGCAGGGAGGATAGCACTTACGTTCGGTAAAATGTGTGTGCTATATGGATTAATGGTAGCCAAGATGTTCCTAAGACATGTATTATATTAGGTGAGAATGTCTTTTAACATGCTTCAATTTATTCCCACATTTAACAAAGTGTTCATTTAATTTAAAAAACAAAAAAGGTTTAAAAACTTGGCATGGTGGCACATCCCTATCATCTAAGTACTTGGAAGGCAGAAGCAGGAAAATTGCATGTCAGAGATTAGCTTGGCCTGCATGAAGAGTTCCAGGCCACATATTGAAATCCTGTCTCAATAATTAATAAATAAATAAGTAAATAAATAAAGATTTTCTTATGCTAATTTGTTCCATTGAAGCTTTTTTTTTTTTTTAATTTGGAAGGTAGCTTGTTAAACTAAACAATACAGGCTTTTGTATTTATAAAACAAAGTTTTGATTTTATATTTGGGTATAACTTAAATCTTAGCCTTAGTAACTTATGGTTTTTACCATGAGAAATATACTAAAATTAATTGCCGAAAAAGGGTTAGTTGTAAGCCTAGGTGTGAGCTCAGGTAAGATTGTTATCTTCTTTGCCTCAGGTGGAACAATTCCTAGAATGAGGATTTAGCTTTATTTGCTCACATCTCTGGAATTCACTTCTAATTTGCCAAAATAGAATAAAACGAGGTACAAACTTTCCTTTCTGCACCTATTTTTAAGTGAGCATGCTATTCATTCTCATGCTTACTTTCATTGATTTTTTAATACATAAAAATCAAGTTTAATTTTGTAGTAGTGCCAGTTGGTCATGTGAACTCTGTACAACATCTCCGTTTATACTGCCTTACACATCACTCACAGGACAAGTTCCCACAAAGACCTGTTTTGTTCTACTGTGGATCCACCCTAAAGAAACCAGTTTCTAAACTATGCAAGGCTTTGTAAATCAAGATAAACTGGTCAGAAATTGGATACAGAAGCAAATAAGAAACCAAATAATGCTTCCTAGTTAACAAGCAAAGTGTGTTCTATATAATAAAATTGCATGTAATGAGATGTTCTGCATTCTAAGAATATTCCAATTAGAAAGTTTGTTTCACATTTGTATTGTAAGTGTAGTTCAAAGTTGTTGACTTCTTCCTATTATTGTTAGAAAATATAAGTAATGGTTTTAGTAAGATATTCTAGGTAACAGGGAATAGTGAGACAAATGGTGAAATGAACACTAATTCTGTGTATTTCTCAGCCAGCCTTGTAATAACTGAGAGCTAAGGTTGAGAGGAAGAAGAGTTTCTATGTAGAAATAGACTTCTTTCTGGCAGCAATTAGTGAACACGGTGCATGCAGAACTTACTTTCCTAGGAACTCAGCATCTATGTCAGAAGTAAGGAAAATACCCATACATAATTCATAAGTGACAGAATATGTTTTTCACCAGTTAAATTCAAACATAATGTATTCAGAACTTAATTTCTATTTTTGAAAATACCCTTGAAATAATGTCCTCTTTGAATTATAAGTGTTTTGTCAGATTATTTCACCTTGTTCAGGGCTTTCAAGAATATCAAGCACTTTTCAAAAGTTTTGTTTTTCAGATAATTTAGTCTAAACATCAGGCTTTTAATTCACTATCAAGCAGTCTTCCAAAGAATCTGCAAGTTTGTGATGTGTTCCCCACCCCCACCCCGGAGAAATATGAAAAAAAAAAAAGAAAAAACCTGAAAAGAATTGAAGAAAAGAAAGAAAGAAAAAGAAAAGACCAACTATCCTCAGCCAAAAGAAATAGTAGAATTTTCAGAGTACTTTGTGAACATGCATAATCTAAATCCTGCACCAAATAAATATGCTGCAAAATATAAAACTGTTAATGTTCTCTTCCCTCATAAAGCCCTCTCCTCACAAATCTGTGTACATGGTCATGTATGTTTTCTATTTGATGGAAGCAGGTTACAGGAGGAACTTTAGAAAAATATCTCCTTACATGAAATGCAAAAAGATAAACTGACTAATAAAGTGCCTTCTTGCTTCCCACTCACTTGTCTTCGGTACTCCTTTTGTTTTATAGTCCCTGTTCTCTCCCCAACAGACTGATAATTCAGAACTCTGATTTGTCACTTGAATCCCAACTCATTGGTAGGATTTGTATTGTTAAAACAACAGTCTAGAAATATGAACTAGGTTTTCTCTTTTATTATTACATTGTTATTGAGGTATAATTTACATACAGTGAAATGTGTCTTGACATACAGAATGAGTTTTGATCCATCAAAATTTGATATACAGAATCTTCATCTATCAGAATCCATGAGGAAGACTTCTTCATGTATACTTGCCAGCAGGTTAAAAAGTTTTCTAGGTGATTCTGAGCAGGTTAAGAGCCATTGCCTTTATAAACAACCAAATTGGGTAATGTGCATAAAATACATAATATATCACAGCACCTTATACAGACTAAAATTAGGTTATTTTTTAAAAATCTTAAACTTCTATGCTTTTTTATGGAGTTTGCCATTCTGACTGATAGGTGAAATTCTCAACTTGTTTTTGTATTTGTTTTTAGAAAATTAATGCAAAACTTCATGATGGAGTATGTCAGCGCTGTAAAGAAGTTCTTGAATGGCGTGTAAAATATAGCAAATACAAACCATTATCAAAACCAAAAAAATGGTGAGTTAGATTTCTTAATTATCTTACTAGTGATATATGAATGAAATAAAATGTTTTTCATTTCCTAATTTTCAAAATTGTGTCCAGGTAAATATTAAAATAAGCCAAAAGTTTTTTGTGATTTATCTTGCATGCTAAATCTTAGTTTGTGCAAACAGATGGAAGAAGTAGATTGATTGTTCCCTGTCCCATTTTTGCATAAATAAATAATTTACCAGTTGGAGCAGAGACGAAACTTTGTCTTGTAAAAATTTGATCTTCTACTGATGCAGTAACAATATTTACTGTAGATTATCTTCACCAATTCTTTTTTTTTTTTTTTCTGAGCCAGGATCTTGTTTTGTAGCCCAGACTGGCCTCAAATCCATGATTCTCCCACCTCCCGAGAGTTGGGATTACAGGTGTGTACCATCATACCCAGATTTGTTATCTTTTTTTCTCTCTCTTTTTTTTTTTTTTTAGTTGGGCTGGGGTTTGAACTCAGAGCTTCATGCTCATAAAGCAGGCTCTCACTCTACTGGTTGAGGCACACCTCCAGTCCAGTTTACTCTGGTTATTTTAGAGATAAGGTCTCAAGCTGTTTCCCTGGGCTGGACTCAAATCATGATCCTTCCAAACTCACTTCCCTAGTAGCTAGGATTACAAGCTTGAGTCACTGGCTTCTGAATTTCTCTCTGTCTCTCTCTCTCTCTCTCTCTCTCTCTCTCTCTCTCTCCCTCCCTCTCTCCCTCCCTCCCTCCCTCCCTCTTTTTTATTACCTTATATTAATCGTACAAAGAGTTTTCACTGTAATATTCTCATGCATGCATATAATGTGCTTTGGTAAAATTCACCCTCTCTCTCCCCCTCCCCTCACTATCTTTATCAGTTGATTCCCCAGAGGGATCTGACCTTTTAATTCAACCCATGAAAATTACTGAAATCACTTGGATTGAGTATCATACATGAATCATTAGTTGATAGCTTATAATTTCATTCATTTGGAGATTTGGGTAAAAATGAAACAATACCAGACTTCCTTTGTTTGTTTGTTTCTTTTTTTTTTTTTGAGACAGGGTCTTACTGTATAGTCCAGGCTGGCCTCAAATTTGCAAGCCTCAGCCAGACCTTGTTTCTTATCCATCTGTCTCTAACCATTCTATAATTCTGGAACTCTTTTATCTCAGCCTTTTATATATTCTGTGCACTTTCCTCACAACCTTTAACTCCACCGAGGAAGAACAGTATTTGGAAGGTAAGTGCTGTGTGAAAGGGAAAGTGATTATTTTTAGTATAAACATTAGCATACTCTTTTTACATTTTGGGTTTTAATTTCTTTATATAGTAATTTCAAATATATTTGCTCATTTTTGCTTTGTTTGTGTATTTATTTATTAAGCTGTTCAGTAATTGCATCTTCCTTGAGTGTATTCTGTCTTTATGGGAGGAAATTTTACTTAAAGTTTGAAGTATCTATTTAAATAATAAATATAATGTTTGGTGTTTTTTTCTGTTGAAAACTATGGCAACCTTTTTGCAAACCTAAAACTCAAGCTATGGAGTGATTTGTTTACTTAAGAACACTTATTTTTTTTTTTTTAATTTTTATATTTACTTGTCTGGAATAAGTATGCATCGTGTCCAGCAAAATGCTAGGCTTCCATTAAATTCTTTTTATTTATTTTTTTTCTTTTATTATTCATATGTGCATACAAGGCTTGGGTCATTTCTCCCCCCTGCCCCCACCCCCTCCCCTACCACCCACTCCGCCCCCTTAAGAACATGTAATAGCATTGGTGTCTTAATTTGAGTTATTTATTTTACCTAAGATGCCACTTTTTAATATTCAGAGGTAAAAGCTTCAAGAAAGGATAAATTAACCTAGATTTTTAGATTTTTTTTTTCTATACTCAAGTCTGGTGAGTTTTGTGTTTAGTGGCCCAAAATCAGCATAGGGAAATTTAGCAGTAGGAGAAGTGTTTGCACCATCCTATTTTAGATTTTCATGAATGAATTAACTGAGTTCTGTAGATAATAATTAGATGCTGGTTGTGTAATATACTAAGTACTCTTAGTTAATAGGCCTAATACAAGATTTACAGCTTTCTGAGAATTTTCAACAAGCTTTCTTTCTATAAAGGTATTTTAAAATTTCATCACCAATCTCCATTTTCTCTCGAGAGCATTATTTCCTAAAGCAATTTGAAGTATATTAATAAATGTTTACATAGCCGTAGCATTTTAATAGACTAAGGCTGTGTAATTATTTGAGAACATTCCTGCCTTATCCATTATTTGTATTCTGATCTTTTTAATATGGCTATATCCTGTATCTCTCCATTATGAACATGTCCCTATGTGAAATGTCATATCAATTATAAATTTTCTAGATGTTATGTTTTGCTGTACAATTCCTGAGCTTAAATATTTTAGACAGCTCTTAGATTTCCCTCTTTTGTGTATTTCATGTTTTTTATAACCAGAAAAATTTGCATATTTTAAATCCCATACTTTAAATCAGAAGGACACAAAGATTCAGTTAAAAACATAAGTAAAAAGAAACAAAAGGAAATATTTATAAAATAATGTATCATTTGACAGCAAGGGCATGTTCAGAGAAATGTGTTATTAGGCAATTTCGTTGTCGTGCAGACATCATAAACTGTACTTTTAGCAAGATAAAATTGCTAAGGTATCTTTAGACAATATAATCCTAGGAGACTACCATTGAAGTTCAATGTATATGTGGTCCATTGTTAGCTAAAATGCTAGTATGAGATATATGACTACATTTAGTTTCCCAGAAAATTTATAACACACAGCCTTTAAGTATGGTTTCATGTGAGCACATTGAACTGAAGATTAGCAGCTGTGACTAATAACTCCTGACTTGGAGTTATTGAAGTTCTTGGAATCAGGGTGGTTGGTGGTGATGCTGTTACTGCTTTGGCAATACAGCAACCCCGAGGCCTTCGAGAGACCTTGTGTCAAAGAGATGAGGGCCAAAAAGGACCTCAAGAACTACTGTTCTTCATCACACTGAGATAGATGCAGTTAGCTACAATTAAGTCACAATAAATGCAAAATGAAGGAAACACAAAATTGTATAAATACCAAAGTACAGATCACAGGACATTAAAGCCTAAAGGAGGATCTCTAGGTTAACGAAACCCAAGTGAATGCAAAATAAGCAATAGCTTATGAGAGACTAAGAAACTACTAGTCAAAGCAAGTTCTCACAGGTAAGGAAAAAAATGTTTTTCTTCTACCTTTCTAGATAGAGAAACCTACCCTCTCATACAATAGAGATACCTGGATCTGTATAACAAAAACCAGAATAACAAGAGAAAAACATACAGTGTAAGTTTCATATGATCCAGGAGTCTCCATAAGGAACTGAAGACATGAAGAAATGGTGAAACCCAAGTGTTTTTATACTAGATTTGGTGAAGAATGAAAAGCTGTAGAAAAATATGATAAGGCAAAGGTTGAACTACAAGTAGTAAACTGGGGAACTTTGCAAGGTCTGGTAATTCAGTTCCTCTCATTTCCCCGTGTCTCTGAAGATAAGGCTGCATCAGGAGGGCACCTCTTGCTTGAGTGTCCTATCTTCTATGTCAGAAAGATTTTCTTCTACTTGCTGTTATTTTATTATTTTTATTTATTGCTTCTATTTTATGCTGTGATTCCTGCAGCATAAAATAGTTTGCTAAGGCACCAAATTTGGAGCTAAAATACTCTGAACCCTATCTATCTGAACATGTTATGTAGGTGGTTCACCTGTTTAGCCTAGAACATCAGTGAATTTCTGATTGTCCCTAAACACAAGATATTAGAAAGCTGAGCTTTCAAATTCTAGACATTGACTAAGAGAGTTGGAGAAAGTATAACTCAGCTGTGTCTACCTTGCTTTCTCTGTGCTGTAGGACAAGTCTGAAGACAGGGGTCATAGCTCAAGTGGTGGACTGTACCTAGGAAGCTCGAGCCCCTGAGTTCCAACCCAAGTTCTACCAGAACCAAAGATGACATGTCCACCACTGTAAGAAGTTTGAACTTTTGGAGATGCTGGTATCATAATTTGTCTTAAAATTTTAAGACTTTCATTCAAGCTGATCAGCCATAAATAAAATGTGTCCTTTCCTAGGATTTGTATAAGAGGTTTACAGATATTCCCCAACTTACTGTGGGGTTATGTCCTGATAAACCCATCATATAAAAAGAAAATATTAAGGTGAAAATGCATTTAGTATACTTAACCTACCAAATATCGTATCCTAGCTTCATCTATCTTAAACACTTAGTGTGCACAGCACACTTAGCCTACAGTTGGGCAAAATCATCCAACACAAATTACTTCAAAATATAGTGTTGAATGTCTCATGTCATTAATTGAATGCTGTATTGAAGGTGAAAACAGGATAGTTGAATGAGTGTGCATAGAGCTGAGTTTCTTGACCAAGACATTCTTGACATATTGAACGGAGTATTTCTTTGTTGAGCCAGCTATCCTGTGTACTAGCCTTTTCCTTGTATGTGCCAGTTTTACCTTTTCCTGATCCTCTAGTCCAGACCTTGAAAAAGGACACCAGACCTTGCCAAATGCCCTCTGGAGAACAATAGCTACCTCCACTTCCTCCCCGGTTGAGAACCACTAGTATAGAGAATTTACTGGTCTAGTTCTAAGCCCATACCATAGTTTGTTGCTATTTTATATCAACTTCTTTTCTAGTATGATGGTGATTTTAAACATGGCTAATGCTGTGTTAGTGATGATATTTTTACCGGTCTTGGGAATATATCTGAAGGAATCTAAGTCAACATGCAATAGAGATACCTGCATACCCAAGTTTATCGTGACACTATTCACAACAGCCAAGCTATGAGTCAGCCTAGGTACCCAAAAACTGATGAATGAGTAAAGAAAATATGATTGATATACACAGTGGAGTGTTATTCAGCAAAAGAAAAATGAAATTATGTCCTTTGCAGGAAAATGGGTGGAACTGGAGATTATCATGTTG